CAAGCTGTGGAACTTTCTAGTAACGTAATAGCGTTCCTTCGCATCATTGTTTTAGCTATGCGCTTTTCAGATTCCTCGGGCAACTGATTGTTGGCACGCCGTCGCCTTCTCAACTGTCGATCGCTAACGTTTTCCTTTAACTTCCTACCACGTTTACCTTCACCTACATTCGACTCTTCTTCCGCTAAAGCGGAACCTAAAAAGAAAATAAAACGAAGTTACAAAATAAACAAAACCATACTTGAAATACGTAGATAGACCTACGTAAGCAATGATATAATAATTGAGACAAAAACTTTAAAAATGTTCACTAAGAATGCTTAATAAATACTTTAATGAATTAGATGTTACTTCATCACTAGTTAGTTGATTAGAATTATTCGGTTTAATTCCGTTACCATTCATATGCATGCGACTGCTAACATTTGAGGATTAGTAGAGGCTCGACAACACTACAAAAACAATTTTCCACTGTTTACATAGAAAATTTATGTTCAGTAACTTTAGTGAATTCAAGTACTACATCATATCGTCTATTTAGTATCCTCTGAACAAACACTCTATTAATCCCTAGAGACTAATGAGATATGGCGATTTTTAGTTTTGGCTAGTTACTGAAGTATACCGTATTCAAACCCCTACATATTATTTTATTGCAAAATAAAATTTGTACAAACTGCATTGTTTACCAGTTAACCATTAGGCAAAAGGCGATTGAGAGGCAGTGATGATGAAAATATTGATTTATAAATGATTATTGTAATATATGTGTGAAATGTGAATGTGAAAAAGACTCCATTTTCCGCACTTAGCCTCTCACTTGGGCCATTGTGCGTATGAGTCGTGGCTAGTGCAGCCAACCTAGCTCCACCCAGAAGCGCAGAAGCTTCCTGGGTTCTTCACAGGCCTCACGGAGCGACCTCACCGTTCCGAGGATTTCTAAACGTTGATGGGCCACAGTCTCACATTCCAGGATTACGTGAGCAGCCGTTTCTTCGGCGTCGGCGTATTGTAATATATAAAAATAGCAATAATTAATATAGTTATAACAGTAAACCAATCTTTCTACATTGAGATGCATTTAAAATACTAATTTACAATTATAAAACCTTTTACAACCTAAAACTGAAACACGCAACCACGCGAGCAATGCCGTGGGCAATGGATAATAATACATAGAGAGAATTAGCTGTGTAGTTCCCGGCATATAATGGGCCATCCCTTCCTTTCCCATAGGTGTCGTAAGAGGTTACTAAGAGAAGGCGAGGGATGGACAACATGTATTTATTTATTTAATTTACAAATATTGTTTACATTTATTTAAATACAGTATCGGGACTTAGAGCGACGAAAAATTTTGCAGATAAATTATTCGTACTTGCTTCTTTATTGCCGACGTTTCGACGTGGATTGCACCATGTCGTGGAAGATGGATATAGGCTTATATAGAAACCAGTGATTGGTGGATACCGTGATTGCGGTGTGTAGGGTGGATCTTGATAATCTTAATAACAGTGTGAGAGTAAGTACCCTAAAAGACTTTACCAGAGGGAGACTTTGTACAAAAGTCGATTACTTGGGTACCTCTGTCTCATTGGTGTTTCAACCGTGAAGCAGTTGTGTTTGCATGGCTGTTTTTCGGTTTGAAGGGTGGGATATGGCGTGAATTTACTGGGTACAGAGGAATAACACCTGAGTCCTCAGGAATGGCAACGCATTGGGGGTATCATGGGCGAAACAGTATACTCTATTATGTCCATGGTACTGCTCGTGTCTATAGGCGACGGTTACCACTTTCCATCAGGTGTGCCGTCAGCTTGTTTGCCATTCTAAGTTGTATAAAAAGAGATGTGTGCGCTGTCAGACGAAGACGCCGCGCACTTCAGTCCTGTTATGACCACGTCGAAACGTCGGCAATAAAAAAGCATGTATGTAGGTACTATTTACCTGCAAAATTTTTCATTGCGTTATACCCCAATAGTGTATTTATATAAATTTACAAGTAAAATAAAGAATACATATATAATAATAATTTCGGATCCAATTGTGTAATTTCTTTCGTTTAAGTAATTGAATTTTAATAAATAAAAGATTTAAAATGTATTAAAACGTATAATTCTGAAAATATAATACTGACATGATTAATTATTAAATATACTTAACAATAGTATCCAAAGGAACTAGAAATGGGTAATATCCGATATATTGGATAACCGATAGTTAATATATCTATTATTGAGCCATATATACGTATAGATATTGTAACTACAATATATAGATACCACTTTATATTACCCATCCTTAAAAGGAACTAAATCTATCAGCCAAATGTTAAGGAGTCATGCGTTACTTTAAAACATTAAGCCTACTGCTTTTAATTGACCTAAAACATACATTTCCTTTATCATAAACTTCAACTATGGCCCTGTCGTAGATGCGCTAGTAACTGAGGTTTCTGTTTGAACACCGTGGAACACCATTTACAACAAAACTCCTCGTGCACTTTCAAATGGGACAACAAAGCTCTGTTCCTCGGGAAAGACTTCCCGCACACGTTGCAATGGAAATTCCTCTCTCCCGTGTGTCGAACCATGTGTCTCTTCAGTTCGTAACTAGTTCTGAATTGCCATTCACAGTACGGGCAACTATAATCCCTTTGCGGCGGGAAATGAACGGAGCGAACATGAACGGCACGCTTCCCGCTCGTTTTGAAGGACAGCTCGCAGTGCGCGCAATCGTATGACACCGCTTTCTCGCTGTGCGCCTCGTTTAAATGCGCCATTCTATCGTAGTACCCTTCGAAACGCATATTACAATGGGGGCATCCGTACCGCGGCCCCTTTGCATGAGCGTGCGCTTTGTGAGAATCTCTGGCAGCGCGCATTGTAAACACCCTATCACATTCGTTGCATGGAAATTTTCCACTTATATGAACTTCTGAGTGCTTCCTCAACCGTGGTGCAGTCATGTACCCTTTACCGCATGTCGCGCATATATAATGCTGGTAGTGAACATTCATATGTTCGTAGAGTTTGAGGAAATTATTGAACTTCTCCTTGCAGACCACGCACTTCCACGATTCCTTGTCCAAACTGAAAGGCAGCACCCCATCTGGGTGCTTCGTGTCAAAGCAGAAATTGTGTTTTGCAACGTGATCGCGCATTTGGTTTATATCACTGAATGAAACAGCGCATACTCGACATACTGCGTCAGTTACATCGACATTTATTAGGGGCATTTCTTTGAATTTACTATAAATGTCCTTAACGCTATGCTGGGAGGAGCACGCTCTAACATGGTCTCTTAACAAATTGCATTCAGTAAAGTAAGCTTCACAATAGGAACATTTGAATTTGTTCCTTTTCCATCTAAAAGGGCAGAGAGCCCAACATTCCAGTATGGAAGCGGCGTTTTTCTTTATGATAATTCGAGCCTCTGCTCGCGCGCTCCTCTGGTACCGCCGTTTTTCCTCGACCTTTTCCTCTCGTCTCACTACATTTCCAGTCGCTCCTACATCTACTACGGTCTCATTGACTTGTCCTTGGAATCCTAAAAATAGAAAATGTATGGTCAGATTTCATGTTTCTGGTTGTTGTTGACCAGAGGTGGCCGACTTGACTAGGACCAAAATCTATTGTTTACTGACGAAACCCTGTGCGATCAACCAATTACATACTCTTGAAATCTCAAATGAAACAACATAGTTTAATACACAATTATGTAGTATTGTAGTATTTTTTATTTTATTAAGAGGGAAAACATAAAACTGAAGATTATTCTTAATAACTTCTTATTTATATTGGTGTGAGCATTGCGCCTGAGAATCTTCCGCTAGATTTATTTTTATAAAACAAAGGTGGCAAACAAGCATACAGCCTGTTTAATGGTAAACGGTCACTACAGTCTATGAAAGCCTGCAACACTAGAGGTGTCATGTGCCTATTTTATGAAATCTCTAGGGAAAACCTTGGCAAAAATACTATTGTTTTCATCTCTTGGATAAAGTGTCATATCTGTCTGTTTAATGTATATTTATCTATTTATTGTATGGATAATCTGATATTATTGTTTTATTGTTACCCAATTCCCTTTGGCCGCAACAGAATATCAGTGCTTTGCTCTTTTGAGGGCGAAGCAATAAACTGAGTTGTGGCCATTTTGTATTGCTATGGCACACTCACAAACGAAAATTGTATTTAGCTTTATGTATTTTTTTTATCATTTATATTATCTCGCTTTTTTTGTATATGTATGTTGTAATTTGTGTGTTGTAAGTAATGCAAATAAATTATATATCTATCTATCTATTTTGGGACCTGTCAGAATATCAGTGTTGCCAACAGTGGGTAATGCATGCTATTAATGGCTTAATGCTAAGACAGGGTTAGTAGGATCCTTTGGCAATTTTTGTTAGTACTGCACCTATGACTTTTGTATATTTCATATGAAAATATTTAATGGCCAGTAAATATTTTCTATTCTATTTGTCAAAATGGACAAATATGTATAATCATATAGAGATGAACATTTCTTACTATAGGCATTTTCAATAATGTAAAAAAATATTTAAGCATGTATAGATATGATATTGTGTAACACTTTTTTTATATATTTTTTTATACAACTTAGAATGACAAACAAGCGGACGGTCCACCTGATGGAAAATAATAACCGTCGCCTATAGACACGAGCAGTACCATGGATATAACAGAGTATACTGTTTCGCCCATGATACCCCCATGCGTTACCATTCCTGAGGACTCAGGTGTTATTCCTCTGTACCTAGTAAATTCACGCCATATCCCACCTTTCAAACCGAAACACAGCCATGCAAACACAACTGCTTCACGGTTGAAACACGAATGGGACAGAGGTACCTAAGCAATCGAAAATGCTTGTTTACCGCTAAGGTGGCAAACAAGCATACCACCCACCTGATGGAAAGCGGTTACTGTAGCCTATAAAAACCTGCAACTCCAGGGGTATTACGCTTGCCAACCCTGAAGAAATCTCTTTACCCCTTCTCTGAAGAACCCCACGCCGTAGTGTCTTGGAAAAACCTCGACAGGGAGCAGAGGATACTTAGTATAAGTACAAGTTAGTACAAGTTCTATTTAATTTAAGATTAGATGATGCTGTGTGAACGCAATGGTATTTACTATTCTTAACCAGTAAGATTATTTGCATTAAAATATCACTAAAACCGAACTGCGGTTACCAACCCACAACTACTGAGATAATCCCCAAATGGGAGATCTGAGTTCAAAAGTGGATAGTTAACAGCTGATATGATGATGTGTAGTCCCAGCATAGAATAGGCCACCCCTTCCTTTCCCGTGGGTGTCGTAAGAGGCCTTAGTCACCTCTTAACAATAATCGAGAGATGGGCTGCAGCGTCTCTCTTAAAACATCCCCAAAGCCTAACTGTGGTTGCCAGCCAGCCTGTCCAGCGTGGCACCTACTGGCAAAACCTCCCCTAGGTGGAAGCCTATGCTCAACAGTGAACAGCTGACGGCTGATATGTTGATGATGACCATGATTACTATTCATACGATATTTAATTAAAACCCAGCTATCGTGTTCTTAATATATATTATATTTTCACAATAAATATAATTTATTTTGTATCTTACAGTTTAAAATATTACAATTTTTCAATTCTAATATTGCTAGATCTAAATTATTCACTTTATGCATATAAATGGATAAAAACAATATCATTTTAGACTATGCAGATAAGAATGTCACCATACAAATGCTTTGAAAAAAGCGGGTCAACTTGTTGTTACAATCTTGCGTGATCAATAGTTACGAGTGATTCCTTTATAACTTGGATTGGTAGTTAAGTCTTCTCTAAGTGTATAACTGTCACTTAGTGCACATTGACGTTTATCTGTGAGAGCTGTATACACCTTTAATTGATGTGTTCATATGGCCTTAAGCTTGGTAGTGAGGAGTGAGATGTTTTCGTTCAAGTAAACTTAGATTTAAGCATTTTTTAATAGTAGTTTTTCACTTTTTACTTACTTATAACATTGTACATCTGCTTAATTGTTGTGAGCATATTGTTGGTGTCTTTTATAAATAACTTCTATATATATTTTGTTTTATAACTTTGCACATTTTTAATGCGTAAAAAGTCATTTTATTTATGAAATAATTAAATATAGATACGTCATGATATATTATGTACGTAAATATATAGAACACTGATAAAAAAAAATAAGTCAGCTAATTTGACAATTAGCTAACATACAGTTGACCCGTTTTTGAGACTCGATGCTCTATCTGTATAATCTAAGATGAGCATAGGATTTGTTGGTGTTAAAAATATATCCAAATGTCGACTTACATGTGGAATAAAAAATGAATAAATTCGTTTACACGATATCCTGAATGCCAAGGTTTGTGAGGTTGGATGTTTGCTTACGCAAAAACAATTCAACCGATTCGATTGAAATTTGAGACACCGATAGGTTATATCACAATTTAAAACATAAGAAACACTTTATATAATGATTTACGCGGGTGAAACCGAGGGATACAGCTAGTAATACAATATGTATCCTTATCTCGAAAAGGTTTAAAAAAACATTACAAGTAAATTATCGAAAATTTCTGCGCTTAAGGACTCCATAGATGGTCAAGCGGCTCGAATCCGATCTCGAATCCGGCTCGAGCGGATGAAAAAGTGGCAGCTCCGTCTTACAAGTAAGTAATAGATGGCCATCCGACTCAATCCGCTTGACCGTTTATAATGAAATAGAAACTGTAGAGACGCCTACATAATCAGTAGGTCAAATACATAATCTAAATGAAGCAGAATATGCTTTTAGCATATACGAATGTTTAGCTAGAATTATTTGTCTCTTAAAATTTTTTTTCACAATTTTATAGTAGACTGATAATGACACAAAGCTATTGTACCAAAAAAAAATTTATACTTGATTAACAACAAAAAATATGGTTTCCAAAAGGTTAGAATGTTCTTGAAAAATAAAATAAAAAAGCATTGATTAATGGATGAACCATCAAAATTGGTTTAGAATTGGCGAAGATATGGCATACATAAAAATACTCGCTGTATTTTTTTTATCAAATTCACAGTCAATACAAGTTTGGAACCATTTGTTAAGAATACAATAAATATATAACAATGAATACTGGCCTAGAACATTCTATTCGGATTTGAAATGGTTTCTAAAATTTAATTTCTACGATTTGATCTTATTAACTGGATAATGTTTTAGTATTAAAACAAGACAATTTTAGCCATATTACCATGAGATTTCTTGATGAGATTGCATTATCGTTTAACGATAGGAAGTAAAAACTAATATCTGAATTATAAATGTAGAGAAATGTATATCTAATCACAGATGTAAGTCACACACGTCGTGCCTTTTTCATATTGTCCTATTGAATTTTGTATTATTCACCGAGTTTACGATTACTAAACAAACCCTTTGTTATTTCTTACACCATATTTTTTCAATATTTTAATGTAAATACTTTTAGAATTTATACATCATGCAACGAATCTAAAATGTTAGTTCCGCAATGAGACAGTTGAAACTATCATACATGGAAATGCTTTTTAGTAATATGTTTCTCAAGCGACACTTTAGAAGCGAACGCTCTGGAACAACTACCACATGGGTAACTGTATTCCGTCTCTTTTTTCGTGCGATGAGCTTTCACGTTGTGATGATACTTCTGAGATCTAGTTTTGAAAGTCATATGGCAAGTGGTGCATTCGTACATTTCGGCGCCCGGTTTGTAATTGTGGAATTCCATTAAATGGCGCTTCCGAAGCTCCCACGTTGCAAACCGAGGCTTCTCCTTGCAATAAACGCACATATAAGGTAACTTGGTGTGTTGAGTTTTTATATGCACACTCCTCTCGTCAAAGGTTGAGAATGTGGCCACGCAGCGGCTACAGTGATATTTATTATCGTGTGGTATTTTTGTGTGCGCGATTAATGCCGATTCTGTGATAAACCCTTCGCCGCATGTATCGCATACGTAGTTCTGGAAATGCTCGGACGTGTGCTTCTTCAACGATATAAAATCGGAAAACTGTATTTTACATATGGCACATTTCCAACACGAACCGTCATTCAACTTGAACGGTAGCACACCGGGCTCGACGTCAGCGTTTATCGGTTGCTTGTGATCGTTCTTCAGATGCGCCATCAGATCGTCCAAACTGTCTATTGGCATGAAACAAAGTTTGCACTGAAGATCTGTTATGTCAATTTTAAGGAACTCTTTCCGCAGTTTTCTGCTAAACACGAGTTGTATATCAAAATTTGCGTGACGCGCCGCCATATGTGTACGCAAACCATTCGGATCGTTCGATTGCACCCGACAAAAGACGCAGTTGAAATTTTGTCCCCAAGTTCTGAACGGAGAAGCCGTGGAACATTGTAGAATAATTTCAGTATTGCTGCGGTGTTTCAACGCTTTCCCGAACCGGGGTTTATAGGAGGACTTGTAGCACCTAAAGTTTCTTTCGTGTTGCCGCAGTCCGTGTTCAGACAAGAACGTTGCCCCGCATTTGTCGCACGTAAATATCTTCACGTGACTACGCAAGTGTCCGTTGATTTGTGAGAATTCCGCAAACGTTTTATCACAGTCGAGGCACATCCACAGTCCCGTAGGTCCCTGCCGATACGGTAACACACCAAAAGGTACATTGAAATTGACTGATATCCCGTGATCCTTGGACAAGTGACTCATTAGTATATCTACATTTTGGATATCTTGTGAGCAAATATTACATCTTAACTCGGTTATGTCTATTTTTAAATCGTCAACGACTTTGTAAAACGCACTATTGTGGTCAGCATTCGAGTGATCTGCCTTGATGTGATTTCTCAGAGCTGCCATAGGTTCGAATTCGTCGTGACAATAGGAACATACGATTCTATTAAATCGGGTTTTAAACGGAAAGGCCGTGGAATGTTTTAGTACGAGAACAGCGTTTTGCCGCTGCGGGTTCTGGTTTACTGATCTTTCGAACAGCCGCTTTTTTGGCTTATTCTCTTTCTTTTTAATTCCGTCAATTTTTCTTCTCGGCCCTAAAAAAAGAAAAGAACTTCATCATTATTATATTCTAAATACATTCTTCGTTTATATGGCTGCATTAATACATTAATTAGAAGCTTCCATGCTATACTCTTTTCTACAAGCAGTCAGTGTGATCTCATTACTATTAGGATTATTCTTTACCTGTTACGTAAAAATATCACAATTTATACTCTATTTTCACATATCAAAATATTACTTTGCTAATTGTACATTTGTCCATAAAGAGTTTAATTGTGGAATTTTTAGGACGACTTGAATGACTTTCATGTCTTTTATTTATTCATAAAATCTTGCCATATAATTATTTTAAAGATACCGAATCTAAATTATGTTTTAAAGATACGCATTTTTACATATATCTGCGCTATTTTGTAAATACATAATTAATAAATTCCAAATTTCTTGGTTAACTACCTGCTGGTGGGCGACGTCTTTGCTGTAGTTATATGTACGTACAATGGTTTAATTTTTATCTCTAAAGTTCCAGACTTCAAATATCGAAAGCATCTTTAATCAATCAACAATTACTAATATTTAATAAGTCATGCTATAAGCCGATCACAGTTGATAATCTATATTTCTGAAGAATAGTGTTATGCCTTTTGTTAATGATAACAATTGCCTCGTTCGCAAACGACACCATGCTCTAAAGCTTCCATATAATCTTGGCTCTCTCTAATACATTCTTCGTTTCTATGACTTTATTAAAGAACATTTAATTAACAGCTTTTCCAAATCTATAATTACAGCAGTCATCATTACCACAAGATTCTCCATTGTTATAAGTTATCAGTAGTAAATACATATTACTTCAGTTTTTAAGTATTGAATAAAGAGATCAAATTTTTAACACGACGTTTCACATCATATCAAAATGTTTCTTTGCTATATGCTTATCTAGAAATAGTTTAGTCGTGAATGCTTTGGGACAACTGGGACAAGGATAGTTGAGCTCAGTGTCTTTTTTCATTCTGTGAGTCCTCGCCATATGATTGTATTTCCCAGAACGTGTCTTGAACACTTTCTGACAACTCGCACATTCGTACTTATCCGCGCCAGTTTTGTAATTATGAACTTCCATCAGGTGTTTCTTGCGTAACTCCCAGTTGGCGAATCGTGGTTTCTCCTTACAGTACATACACATATAGGGCATGTTTGTATGTTGGGTCTTCACGTGGATGTTTCTCTCGTCGAGTGATGAAAACGTGGCTACACATCGACTGCAGCTGTATTTATTCTCATGCGGTATCTTTGTGTGCGCAATCATTGCAGATTCTGTTATGAATCCTTCCCCGCACGTATCGCATACATAGTTTTGAAAGTGTTCGGACGTATGCTTGTTCAGTGAGACGAAATCTTTGAATTCGTTTGGACACATCGTACATTTCCATACTGATCCGTCATTCAGTCGAAACGGCAGTACACCTATTTGAGCGTCCGAATTTATAGGCTGCTGGTGATCATTCTTCAAGTGATAGGTCAGCACTTCAAAATTATCGATTGTCATAAAACACAATTTGCACTGCAAGTCCGTTATGTCGATTTTCAGAAACTCCTTCCCTAATTTCTTGTAGAACGCCGCTTGGACATCGTAATTCGCATGTCGAGTCGCCATATGATTTCTTAGACCAGTAGGATCACTCGACTGTACTCGACAGAAAACACAATTAAAATTGTTCTTCCAAGTTCTAAACGGGCACGCCGTGGAGCATTGCAGTATTATTTCAGCATTTGTCCGCGGCTTTAGGACCTTACCATTCCGCGGTTTGTACGCAGTACGGAAGCATTTCACTTGACGATGATGGTCGCGTAACGCATAATCTGACATAAAAGTTGTGCCACATTTATCACAGCTGAAGTTCATAAAATGATTTCCTATGTGCCGTTTGAATTGAATGAACTCATCGAAACATTTGTGACAGTACACGCACAACCAACGGTTCTCGTGGTCCTGCTTGTACGGAAGTACACCAAAACGAGCATTAAATTTAACTGGCTTCCGGTGTTCTCTAGATAAGTGGGTCATCAACGTATCCACATCGGGAATGTCTTGAGAGCAGAGCTTACATTTCAAATTCGTTATGTCAACTTTAACGAGATTGTCTTTTGTTCTATAGAATACATTTTTAAAATCCGAATTGATGTGTTCGGATTTCATGTGGTAACGCAAGTCCATCAGAGTGTCGTACTCGTCGTGGCAATACGCGCACAGTATCTGACTAAATCTAGTCTTAAAAGGGTAGGCGGACGAACACGTTAGTATGAGCTCGACATTGCGCCGCTGTGGCGTCTGGTACACTAGAACAATTTTCTTTTTTGTTTCATTGTCACTGTCACTACGTCCGTGTATTGCCAGTGTCGACCCTAAAAACAAAAAAGAAAACGGTCAGTGTCACCGAATCGTGGAAACTAAAACAAAGGCTTAACTCATGCAGGCTTTTTAAGTGATAAAATTAAAATACTTTTTAGAACTTATTAATATCTGGATGATGAGACTTCATATGGCACTTTAAGCTAACTCTTTGTGCAAATTGCTTATCACAAATTGCGCACACGAATCTTTTAGTTTCACTGTGAATCCACATGTGTTGTTTCAGGCTTTTGTCTCTAGAAAACGCCTTAGAACATACTGTACATTTGAAAGTTTTCTCTCCAGTGTGACATATCCTATGATCTTCTAAAAGCCTTCTACACGCGAACTTTAAACCACAAAACGAGCATATATAATTTTCATCGGTATGCATCAATTTGTAATGAGTATAAAACAAACTTCTCGAAGCATAAACTTCGCCACAATCTGGGCAATCGTATGTTGGCTCCGGCAAATTATGAATGTCGACTGCATGCCGTTTCTTCGACTCCCAAGAGTTGAATCTCTCGCCACAAACGGTGCAACAAAAGGTCCAACACGCCTTAGACAATTTTTGGTGTTTCCTTTTCTCCTCTAGCGTTTCGAATTCTCCCCAACATTTACGACATAGATGCTTTCCTGAATGTGAGCATTTGACATGATACTTCAGCGCTTCGTTTGTGAGGTAACATCGGCCACAAATATCGCAGGTAAACTTCTGGTAATGTGAAGTCGTGTGCCGACACAGTTTCGTTACAGATGCAAACTTTTGATTGCATATCAGGCATTCAAAATTATCCTTTGAAATTTTGTACGGTTGCATGCCTATTTCATGATTCAAATTCAGTTCTTTGCAGTTGTGTCTTTCGTATATATGTTCTGCAACGTCCTCTAACTTTTCGAACGGTTGTTTGCACAATCGACATTTGAGATTCGTGCAATCAACTTTCAGATAGTCGCTACGTTTACCAAAGTGCGCGAAGGCAGTGGAAACGGTAAATTTCTCATGAGTCTCGTCCATGTGGTTTCTGTAAACTGTTGGATCTTCGTATTTATCGCAACAGTATACACATTGCATCTGCTTGCCTCGTAGTCTGAACGGATATACCGTTGAATACTGCAAGACAAGTTCGGCATTCCTTTTCGCAACGTGGCCATGTGGTTCTAGAAAAAAAAATATTCCATTGTGACTGTTGGCTCCGATTTTGGTCTCCTTTTGGGGAAATAAACCTGTTAATATTTATTGCTTTAATATAAAATAATTACTTATATAAAAGGGCAGTAAACTGTAACAGTTTTGAGAATATTGCAAAAAAATCTATAACTGTATAGAACCAGACAAACGAATCGGACATAATTTTCAATGACGATTATTTGTGCAATAAATCCTTAATAAAATTATTTACTTTTTAAAAAGATAAAAATGGCAACCCCTCCTACGCTTTTGGTTTAAGAGTGACGCACCAGATATCAATCGCTTTCACTTAATACCGGTATATTTATTTAAGCGTTAATACATTCTGTAATTGTATGTACATTTAGCGGACTAATATATACTGGTTGTAAGGTGCACGATGGCAAAAACTGAAATAGTGAATTCAGACCATTATTCTGAACTGAAAACCAGTAGAAATTCTTTCGTTTTCTGTATTTTTCATTTAAAACCCCACAATCTATGATATTATCACATAATATAAAAAATAATATTTTGTAGTAAAATACTAGGAAATACCGAAAAAACAACAATGTAATATTCGTATTAAGATCCTAGTGCGACTCGCGGAATCAGCTTTGTAAAGTCATCGCGTTTAGGTATTGAAATGTTTTGCCACTCTTTCAGATTGAGAAGTTATTGCAAAAGAAAAAGACAAAACAATAAGTTTATGAGACGTTTCTATGAATAAGGAGGTTAGTTTTAAACCTACAAATTAAATAAAACCAAACTATACAATCATTGTTGTTGCACGATAGCTTACTTAAGAGCGGCAGGACAATTTGTTGCTTTTTGTTGCAGCATAATTTATTTTTAGTTATATATCCCTTACTCAGAATATGCATAACAGATATATGTATACTTATTATAAATCTGTAGAGAGGTTAATTCTGTACATGAAATATATTTCCAAAATAACTATCAGGGAGTGATTAGTGATCGATACTGATGCCAAAAATGAAATCAGTAAAATTTATGTCTGTCTATATGTTCATTATAGAAACAAAAACTACTCGACGGATATTAATGAAACTTGGTACAATTATTCTTCATACTCCTGGGCAGGTTATAGTATACTTTTCATCACGCTACGATCAATAGGAGCAGAGCCGCGAAGGGAAATGTGTCTGTTACATCAAAACCACTGAACCGTGAGGAAGGACATAGGCTACTTATTTTACGAAAAACGACGGAATCGCGGACGAAGTCGCGGGTAATAGCTAGTTTTTATATAAAATTCTATTTTACAAGCTGACAGACTACCTAATGGATAAGAATTTAATTAAATTAGTTTTTCTTAAAACATCACCAAAAGCCTAACTGCGGTTGCCAACCGTGGCAACTACTGTCAACCCCCCCCCCCCCTTATGGGGAAAACTATGTTCATCAGTGGACAGTTAACGTCTGATACAACACCAATGCATACG